GCTCTACCCTCCACCAACGTCCCCCGAGGTCACCACCAGTCAGGAGGACAACTAAGGACAACGTGTCATTCCAAGTAACCCCGTCTCCGATAAGGAAGAAACGGGAAGGTCTCCAGCTCAAGCGTCTTCCTGGGATCCATCTCCGCGCCCGCACAGCGCGCGGCCCCCGGGAGGTTCGGCGGCCTGCCTGGAGGGGGTGGCGAGCGCGGGGCCGCTGGGGGAGCGGGGGTGGGGGTGGGGGGGCGTCCGGAGCCGAAGGGCGCGCCCCAGGGACCGCAATCAAGCCCCCCACCCCCCTGAGCGGGCTCCCCACTCTCTCCCGCCTTTCCCCCAACGGAGGCTCTTCTACTCCCCGCCCCCCCGCAGCCTCCCCTCCATCCCTCCCTCCCACGCAGGCCCCCACGGAAGCCGGAAGTAAGGATCGGCCACTAAGGACCGTGAAGAGGCGGGTCCTAGAGCGGCCGGCGCGGCCGGCCAAGGGCTCCCTGGAGCGCCTTTCTAGGATGCGGTTGGCCTCGCGCTCTCAGTGGTGTACCCGCCCCAGTTTCTGCGTCCAAGGCGCTTGCAGGCCGCGCAGCTCTTAACCCTGGGCTGTCGCTCCGGAGTCAAATTTGCTTCTCCCACCGACACTACCCCTGGCACCTGCAGACTCCTTTCTTTGTGCTGGGAAGATGTATGCACTTGGCACACATGATCTCATTTGCTCCTGGAAGAGGCATGAGGTTAAATGATCTGATAGTCAAAGAACTTCAAACTGGGAGCTATTTTAGCCTTTTGCCACAAATCTTCAGAACTTCCTTCATCTGCAGTGCTTTCCCCCCTACCCCTGTGATAGGAGAATTCTGCAGTTTGACACCTCTCTAGACTCATCTGGGCTCTGAAACCTGAACAAACAAACGTTCATTGCTTCCCCTAAGTAGATGAAGCAATGGATGAGACTCCCAGATGTGTTTGTAGAATTTTGAAGCTTCTAAGAGAGGAAAAAAGAATCTTCCCTCTACCCGTCTAAGTTCTTGGCTGGAGTCCTGGTAACAAAAGGCAGATTAACAAGAGAAAAACAAACACAAATTTATTAACGTGTGTATCTCATGGACACATGGGAGAGACCCAGGGAAGAATGAGTGACTCTCAGGTAGCTTGGGATTCAGGCTTGAATACCATCTTCAGCTAAAGACAAAGAGGGTGTAGGGGAGGTCAGTTACAGGAGCTGACCAGGAAAAGTATAAATAGGAGTAAGGTCTGTTAGTTTCTTGTTTCTTCTGATTCAGGGTCATCCTTCTCTTTCTCATACAGAGGGAGACACCCTTACAAAAGGGTAACTTGTACTCTGTTTTCAGAGATTCTCCTGTGTCTGCTATTTCTCAAAATAATCCTTATGCCAAAAAAACATATTTTGCTGCCCTTAAAACTCATGTCTTATTCTGATCCCTTTCCTTATTATAAGCTCTTGATTGGTGACCAGATTTTGAAAGGAAGGAATAACAAGCTTATATCCTTTCCCTTCAAAACATTTAAGGACATCTTCCAATATCCTTGAGTGGTCAGGTCAGACTCCCCTCTCCAACAGGTTTCTTCAGGTCAGGAGCTACATATTTACTTCTCATTTCACTCTGATTCTTTCAAACGATATAAGTTATAGACATGGATGACCTCACCCAGCCCCAGCATGGAGACCAAGCTCCTCAATATTACAAAGTCAAGATTACGAAATCAAGCCTCCTAGAGGCACCTGACGGGCTCAGTCAGTAGAGCATGGGACTCTTGATCTTGGGCTTGTCAGTTTGAGCCCCACGTTGGGTATAGAGATTACTTAAAAGTAAAATCTTAAAAAAAAAAAAAAAGAAAGGATATTGATTGGCTAGACATCATTGCAAATTGGAGGGTTCTTGCAACGGGGTGAGATAAAGGCTTATCTTCCACTTTTTAATGAATCCAACTCTAAAACCCAATTCCATGTGAGTGTGCTAGTGAAATAAGAAAGGATGTTTCAGTTTTGAAGGTTGTGATCACATCCATTTCCACTGTGAGTTTTGTCAGGAAAAATTTTCAAATTTTCAAAAATTTTCAAGGTTTCCATGGTAGCTTGAGTAGGACAACTGTCCGAGTCATGGCTGCTGTAGCAAAATGCCACAAAATGTGTGGCTTAACTAACAGAAGTTTATATCTTAGAGTTCCAGAAGGCATAAAGTCCCAGATCAGGGTGGCCCACCGGGTTGGGTTCTAATGAGGCCCCTTCCTGTGTTTGGAAGGCTGTCTTCTTGCTGTGTTCTCAAATGGCTGAAGAGCACAGTGAGGAAGCAGGCTCCCTCAGAATTCTTTACAATGACCCTAATCCCATTTAGGAGCGTTCTACCCTCCTGACATATTAATCCTAATTACTTTCCACAGATCCCATCTCCTAATACCATGACATTGGGTTTCAACATGAATTTTGGAGGGACACATTCAGTCCATAACAGTGATTTTCATTGATTTTTTTTTAGCTATCTCACAACTCTTTGAGTTGTAGGAAACTGGTAACAGTGAAAATGATTTTCACCACAGAAATGCAAATGAATTCTGTCCAGTGGAATGCAAATGATCATTGCCCTGGAAATGGACAGTTTAAAAAAATCAATTTGCAAATTTACTTCAGCATTCCAGATTGTCTATAAATGTGTAGTACTCTGAATTTTCTTTTGAGCCAATTTTAACATCTTACTGGTTGTTACGTTATTCTCAACACATACTCATTTTCATTTGTATGAAAGTCATAAATTTACCTTTTTTATTTTAACATGGTCTTTAACAATTTGGCAACAAGGAGTTTACACTGATGACAGAAACAAAATACCAGCTTGTTGCTGGCAAACATAGATTGAAGAACATGGTTTGGATCTGAAACTAAAATGGGCTATCTCTACTCCTTCCCATGTTTATACCTGGAACCCAGTAGACTCATTTGCCTAGCAGTTGTGTGAAGGCACAAGTACTCTGTAAAACCACCAATGCAAAGAGCTGAAGAGACCATAGAAGCACAGCTGAATATTAGTGCCACCCAAAATGTGGATCAGAGAAGGAAAAACTATTACTCTTAGATTTTTCTTCCTAAGGGGAGGACAAAGAAGAGAGTGAAGCAAGTTAAGTATCTTCCCAATAATTCTAAAAGGCATTTAATCAAAGTGAGTGAAACAGGAAGGGGAAAGTTCCACTTAAGTAGTTCTGTAAAAATTCTGTAATCATGTTTTTTGGTATTAATTTTAAAAGTAAGATTAGGGCAGCCCTGGTGGCTTGGCGGTTTAGTGCTGCTATCAGCCCAGGGCCTGATACTGGAGATTCAGGATCAAGTCCTGTGTCAGGCTCCCTGCATGGAGCCTCCTTCTGCTTCTGCCTCCCTCTCTCTGTGTGTCTCTTACTAATAAGTAAATAAATCTTTAAGTAAAATTAAACTTTTAAAATCCAATATGTCAGATATATGAGAAGTCATTTATGACAACAGCCTTATTTCTTTTCTTCTAGAATTTTCCAGGTGAACCAGCTACTCTTACCTCTCTCTTGTATTATCCTCCTGTCTTTTTCTAACTCACCCAGTTCTCCAAAAGAAGCTTCACATTCTTCCAGTCTTCAGAAATCCTTTTTCTGCTCCTCTGAAAATGATCTTATGAGGGCAGTGGTTACACATAGGTAAGATGTATTATGTGCTATATATATGTATATTTAGTAATAGTAGTAGAAATCTTGCCAGAATGAGTTTCTTTTCCCCTCACCAAGTTTCTACATTTCATTTCACATTTCCCTTAACCACAGTTGATTTATGTGCCGCAGGGATTGAGTCCGTTTGGTGGTACATGAAACCATCTGAATTCGGATGGGATGGTTGGGTCTCGTCCACGATGCATGTCTGCTGACACCTGCACAGCTTCTCCCATGTTGAGATCGGTATAAATTAACGGTGAGATGAGCGGAGTCATGAGTGGCCACGATGACAGAAAACATTTAGCCATTCAAACCGGAATCTCTTAGAGCTGGCATTCAACGTCTAATCTCAAGATTCTTCTCCCGAGAAGTAAGGAGATGCTGGAATGTGTTCCTGAGGCCGAGCCAAAGTTCACTGCATTGTAATATAAGCACAAGGGCAGAAACTTATTTTACTTCAAATTAAAATTTTTGCCCTCTCCTGTTTTACGTTATCATTGCCGCAGCCCAGGGCTGCCTCCCCGGCAGGTGGCAAGCACTCAGGCAGCACGTGTTGGGCGAGCGGCAATCGCACCTTCAGGACGTAGGGAAAGTGGGTGCATAAAGGGGGAGCCGCGTTTCTGTGGGAGGACTCGCGATTCCTCTAAGGAAGGTGTTCAGGGCGCGAGAACCCGAGCGAGACACGTCAAAGAACAGTGTGTTTAGTGAGAGCCGCGTACAGGGCACACCTGCGAACGCAGACACAGGGAAAGTGCACGAACACCACAGACCCGGAAGGAGGGACGTGCACGCTTCTGGCCCCACTGCAGAGAAGGGACGACGCCCGGCGTCGGCCGAGAAGACGAGACCAAAGCGCCGGGCGGGGACGCCAGGGAGAGCGCCCGCTTCCGGGAAGACGTGCGGGACTGGCCCCAAACCTCGCGCGTTTCTCAGCTCTCTCGCGATATCGCCACGGATTCCCTCCTCTCGGAGCTTCTGCACCAGAGATCCCGGCTTTCAAAATGTATCGCGATGTTCTCGCTCTTCACATTTTCGGTGTTTTTAACAGTCCCTGTAAGAAATTTTTATGTCCGTTAATACTAGACGTCGGTCGCACACCTCTCTGCAGGTTGATCTCAGTGTGTAGGAAATTAGAGGGAGGAGAAAAATTATGTGTCAGAAGTGGGATTCGAACCCACGCCTCCATTCGGAGACCAGAATCCCCAGCGGGGAAGCGGAGCTTGAGTCTGGCGCCTTAGACCACTCGGCCATCCTGACACCCTGCGGAAGAGCAGAGATTTTCCACTAAAGTCGATGTGGCGCGGTGGCGCTCCTGTGACGTAGGCTGCTCGCGGGAGGCGGCGCTCAGGACGGAGCCCGGCTGGCCGGGGGAGGAGGAGGAGGAGAGACCGGTCTGTGGACGGAGGGAGACTCCAGGGGAGGAGGGCAGCTGCCGCAGCGGCCGAGCGGCTGCGAGCACGGACTTCCCGAGCCTCTGTTCCGTTGCCCGCCTCTCGGCCTCGCCTACGCCCCGGCGCCGAGGGAAACGAGAACAAACGTGCCTCCCGGGAGTGCGTCTGCGAGCGCCTGCGCCCAGGTGCTCCTGTGCGGCGGCTGGGTCGGGGGCAGGGGAAGGGGCCGGGAAGGGCAGCGCCTGGGGCAGAGGCTGCGGAAGGATCCAGGTCCTCTCTTGGTCCTCGGGCAGCTCTCGGATCCGAGTCCTAATCCCTGTAGGTCGGCGGGCGGGCCGGAGACGCAGGGACCGGGAGCCTCACCGCCGGACCAGCCGCCCCCACGTTCTCCGCTCGCCGAGCGGTCGGGGCCTGACAGTAAATTCCTTCCCCGCTCGGGTTGGGGCTGAGCTCAGAGCGGACCCGGATCCGAGGAAACTGAGGAAACTGGGTACGTCCTAGAACGTCCCGATGGCTTGCTTGTTTTCCGCGTTCGCACAAAAACGTTCTGCTCGCTGCAAGGCAGAGGTTAGGTCTCTTCTAAATGAAAAGAGAAGTGATTTGAGTTGCTCGGCCCTGTCTTAGATTCCCAGACTGCCTGGCTTCAACGCTCCGACTTTTGATAGAAAATGGCTTTGACTGTGTGGTCTTCTCAGTCACAGATCGGAGGCCGTGCGCTGAGCGTGCTGCCCCGCACGGGTCAGATGTTCACAGACAGAAACGCCTGAAGCATGAACCTGCCGCTGCAACCTCTGTATTCCGTATTTGTTCCTCTCACATTACACGGTGATCACGATGTTTCTACAGAAGCTCAAGGATTTAAAAACGAACTTACATGGAACACTTAATGCTTTTCAGCCTGCTTTATGGCTGGCTTTGTTATTTGACGTGATGATTTGGGCGAATGACTTACGTTTTAGCGATCTGTGTCGATAGCTAAAGGCCCAGTTAAGTATTTCGTCACTTCAGGCTACTTATGGTCTGCTCGGGATGTTGTTTGAAAGAAAGAAAAATACACCTTCATCTTCTTAATAAACCTGCGGGTGGTTTGATGAGGGGCAGGCAAACGTATTTCTTATACACTCGCATCAAAGACACACTTGTGGCGAAAGTGAGTTGATAATGTGCAAAAGGTAGTCGTCACCACCTCATTTCTTTACCGTTAATGAAACAAATGTGTGTACTTTGGGTAAATAGATGAGTTCAAAGGATGGCTGATAGTCTTGTGATCTTAATTTATTTTATATAGTGATTTTTTTCTCCTCTTAGGAAGTACATTTAGTATAGTGTAGAAAATAATGACATTCTCATATAAGGTTATAGGACTTTTCATACATAAACATGAAATTTGTTGTAGAAAATTCTTTAGACCAAACATTTTAATCTAGGACTTCAACTTAATCTGTTCCTTGAACCTATTTTTATGTGGCCCTTAAAAACATACCCAAAAATCCTCATTGCTAATATAGCAATATAAATACTGTGGTCAGTGACAGTCTCTTTGGAGGTATACATAAAATTGCAAACTTGTATTCATATTCTTTTCTGTGATATGTTGTGCTAAAATCAAAATGCTTTTGCACCATTTTTTAAGACAATTTTTTTTCTTTTGACATTCATACCAGATTTATGGTAAATACTGCTCTGGGGGCTAAACATTTTTTTAGTGAAGATACAACCAGAACACTATGTGTTTCATAGTATTTCAACAATATGAAACATTTTATCCATAATTTCAACACTATGGAATTATGGATAAAAATTTCAAAATAGGTGGCATAGGTAAATATTTTTAGGCCTCATTCAAAATTCACTTAACAAACCATGCCATTTTTTTCTGGGAAGTAAAAAAAATGGTGTTTCATTGTTAGGTTATATTTTTCTGTAAGAACGTGGAAATTTTTTGATCTATGTTGTATTCCTCATTCATACTATAATTTTAAGGTTGTCTTATGTGTATTTTAGTAAATAGATGATTTTGAGATTCGAGGCTCCTAAAAGTTTGATTTGCTCATTTTCCCCTAAAATATTTCCAAAAAAAAAAAGAAAAAGAAAGAAAGCAAGCCATAAATTAATGCCTTGCCACTTCTCACCTTAATTTTCCTCCTTCAAAGATGTGAGATTTGCTGTACTTTCATAAGCTGTAGTTCTCTGGGAAGGAAGTTGTCCCAGAAGTGATTCTAGATGTGGCAATTTCAAGTTCCTAAAAATTTGTAATTATTACTGTTTTTCTGATTGCAAGCTACTGCAGACACCTCACATCAAACTGGTACTGTTGAACATTGGATTATTTCTGTTTTCTTAACTCTTGTCAGCAATGCTGTAAAGAACATTCTTCTGTAGATATTTTCAATATCCATAATTATTTCCTTACCTTTCTGGAAGTGGAATCCCTAGTTTTGGTACTGCGATTCAACAACAAAGCATTTTAATGGATGAGAGGTGGCAAGGCATTATTTTATGGCTTTATTAATGAGTTTCAACTTTGTGTTTGAAGGATTTTCATATTCTGTAAATTTGCAAATTGCTTACCAAATTTTTATTCATGTGTTCATCTTTCCTTATTGATTTGCAAAACTCATTATATGAAAGATAAACCCTCGTGATAGTTTCTATTTCCCAAGAACCCAGGCAGAAATTCTTTTATTGTAATTTCTCTTTTAATCTCATTAAGCCCCTTAAAACTTAATTTTCATCTCATAGAAACTATGAGCTATAAAATTAACAAGGTTCCCTTATCAATCTTTAAAAACAAACACGTGGGTAGCATTTAGTATACTTTTGTCTCTTTCTTTTATGGCATATTGAACTCCTGCTACCTTGACTTTATGTTTTAATATACTTTTTTTTTTTTTTTTTTTTTTTTATGATAGTCACAGAGAGAGAGGCAGAGACACAGGCAGAGGGAGAAGCAGGCTCCATGCACCAGGAGCCCAACGTGGGACTCGATCCCGGATCTCCAGGATCACGCCCTGGGCCAAAGGCAGGCGCCAAACCGCTGCGCCACCCAGGGATCCCTGACTTTGTTTTAAATGGCTTGAAGTCCTTTCTGGAATAAAGTGAGGTATAATTATATGAATATTTTTACTATTTACTAACATTTACTGTGCAATAGGACTCCCCCATCTTACATTTTTATGAAAACATCTTCCACAAGAGGGATTTTGAAAGACCTGAAAATATTAAAGGGTAGAGAGGACTCAAATGAAAACAAGCTGACAGGAGTGGTCCATACCAGTTTAAAAGAAAGAATTTAACTCCACTCCCAACCTTGAAATGAGTATTTTATGCAAAGCTCATAAACACATCTGATTCTCTAATTATCATGTCCAGGATTTACTTTGGAGTAACAGCAATAGTGGAAATTCAGATGAGGCTATATTGGAAATGAAGTTGGCAATAAATTGATTGTTGAAGCCAGGAGATGCTATAGGGAGTTCACTCAATATTTCCCTCATTTTTTTGTGTGTACTTCAAGGTCTCCATTGTGAAGAATTCAATGCAGCTGGAAAAATCCTCCATAATCTCATCAAAATCATCTGTTAATTCTTTGGTGTATTTCTTTCCAGTTAAAAAAAAAAAAGTGTAAGTTGAGAAATGTGAAATCTCTACTTACACTAAAATAAGTTATCACCTCTATTTCTATTATATTCTTGTGTATCACAAACCCCAAACTGGACATGGCAATTGTATGCAACACTATAATCCAGACAAATCTTCTGAATGAGGAATCAGGGGATAGAGAGAAATGTACCTCAAAGTTACCTTCAAATGCCCTGGTTACACTTCAAACTCCAAATGTAAAATTAAGCCCACAAATAAGCCACATCTGAGATATTTATGCTTTCTTTCCAGTTGGGACAAGGAAATGTAACTGAGCCACTGTGGTCATATCCAAGTACTGTCCAGAGTTTGAAATCCAGACTACTTTGCTAACACCCTAGCAAAACTAGTTCCCAAGTAATTACACTGGTTTGGCAGAGCTTTCCCATTCCTGAGACCTCAACACAGGCAGAATTCCTGCATTCAAGGAGGTGCCCGGGTGTTGTGATTTAATTACACAATCAAGTAAAACTTTTCTTGCAGGCCTGAACCCATGAATACTGGTGTGTCAGCCCAGGAAGTGATGCCCCAGGATCCAGCCTCCTCAGACCAAGGCTGTTCACAGGGAGGTCTGCAGCGCACATTTCCCTTGCCCACACATCAGCTTTGGTTGCTGTCTGCTCCTTTTTCATGTTATTTTTTCCTCTTAACTGACTTTACTAACTTTTCGAAGAACGGAAGCCATGCTCTCTTGTATCCTCCTGGGGAGTCAAGTTCAGCTGGGGGACCCAACACTGGGTAATTGTGTCATTTGAATCAAAGAATCATTGTCCTTCATTAGTGAAGAGGCAACATACCCACCATTAGCACACTAAGAATGAAACTTTTCAGTGCTGGGAAGAGATGCAATTCCTGTTTACAGTCTTTGGCTGGAATCGCAGATAACTAAGGGCATTGACAAGTGGCTTATTTCCTGTAATGACAGCGATTGGCTTTCAGTGTCATGGCACTTGTTACTTGTTAGTCACTTCTCCCAAGTATTTCTCATCTTCCCAATTGTGCACATCCTAGGAGCAGGGCCGTGTTCAGTTTCCTTTTATTCTCTGTCTGGTTGGGGAAGATGCTCCTATCTTCCCGCCAGGCCACTATCAGCACTATTACACACAGTAATATCCTAGGGCAGTAAAATCTGAAGAATGAGTTGTTGAAGTCTTAGTGTGTAATTAACAGCTTCAGATGTTCTGAGGAAAGAACCAGACAGGAGCCAGAAGGATGGTACCAGGCCCCATGTTTGCCTTAAGGGGCCCAAATCCTCATTCTGCGAATTCAGATGTTGCTTATCTTTCTGCAGGAGTAAATTTAGAATCATTTACAACTTCATTTGGGATGAGGATCCCAAATGGTAGGGTTATCTCTTTTAATTAAAAATTTAAATAATTATAAAATATCTGTGAACCCACAAGAACCAGAAGATAACCAATAACATGAACACTTCCCTGCTCCTCTTTGCCATCCTTCTACACACCCCACTGGTCATCACCGTCCTGTTGTTCAGGTTATAAAACGGGTATTGTAAGGTATGTGGTCTTCTGACACCCCGCATGGTTAAGAATGCTTACTCTGGAAACACGTCCACATTTACAATGGAAGTAGTGTTGAGTCCAACAAACTTATCACAGCTCTAGCTGCTGCTAATAAAAATGCATCAAGAAGGGACACCTGGGTAGCTCAGCAGTTGAGCATCTGCCTTCATTCAGCTCAGGGCGTGATGCAGGGTCTGGGATGGAGTCCTGCATCAGGCTTCCTGCGGGGATCCTCCTTCTCCCTCTGCCTATGTCTGCCTCTCTCTCTCTCAGGAATAAATATTTTTTAAAAAATGCATCAAGATGCTGCTCCTAGAGCACTGGGTCTCCTGGAGATACAGCAGGCCCCTGGTGAGCCCCTCCAAGATAGCCTGGAGACAGCTCCAAACTGGCAGCAAAGGCTGGGAGGCCATGCCACGCCATGGGACACATGTTCTCGGACACCTCCAAGATGTCCTCTTTGTGGGCTCCTATTCCTCCCCTCTGCCCCAGTGGACTGGAATAAGAGTTTTGAATGGGATTCTACAGCCAACTTTCCAGCTGCAGACCCTTACATCTCAAGTAGACACTTCCTGTTGAAAGCAGGTCAGTGGAGTGGCACTTTGAGGCTTTCAGTCAATGCTCAGCCTTCTCATGCAGAAAAGCATAATACTGAGGGGAAGGATAAGGTGTATGTGGTCAAGTGTTCCATCTTAGTTTGAATCCTGGTTCTGCTGCTCCCTAGCTGTGCACCTTGAATAAGCCACTTACCTCCTCTGTACCTCCATTTCTGCAACTGTAAAATAGTTCAATAGTACCCACTTTGTAGGCTTGTGAACATTCACAAACTACTGTGTGCCTTGGTCCACGTCTATATATTTCACATACATACACTATAAGCCCCTCTTTATAGGTCCTTCTTACATGATTTCACTTTACATAATGAATGGAAGAATGAATTAGGACATGATCTCACCAATTCATGATTTTCAGCCATGGAACCTCCATGGTCTGTATAGGACAAACTATAGACCATAAAATCTTGTCTTCTGAGGCCACGTCCAGAAGCAGGAAAGATCCAAATCCCTGGAACAAAGCTGTTCTCTCAGCCTAATCTTGCCTCCTCAGCACATGGTGACCCTTGGGTCCCCAGGGGCTTAGCCTGGTGCCTGGGCTAGAAGCCAGTTCTGGACCTTCTGACCTACACCCAGCATAGCTGCAACATCCCACTGCCAGTTATAAAAAGGACTTGAGAGAGCTCTTTCCTACTGAAATTACAAGATTAACCAACACAGAGCTATAGGCTGTGGATGGCCAAACTGCTTTCTTAGCACCATCAGGAAGTGGTAGATAGTACTGCAAAGTAGTATTTTCATCCAGTTTGAAGTCTAATGTTGGCCAAACAGGATTCTGGACCCATAGGGGAAATCAACACCCTTAACTACCCCTCCAGTCCCACCCCCAACCTCTATGAACCCAATCCTACCAAGACCCAGAAAACAACAACAATGTAAACAACATCCACACTCACTTTATTTTCAAACAGAGGGTCATGTACCGGAAGGGAAGCAGGACTAAGCCATTGTGGGGGCTTGCTTGAAGTGATCTGCCTTTGCCTTCTGGCCCCAGAACACCCCATGACCCAATGGCTATGGGGATGCCCCTTGATGGTACACGTATTAGAAAGGTCAATTCCCCCACTCCCCAAAGAAGTGGAGAAAAGAAGGCAAAAAAGTCAATGAGTCCCTGGAATAGTGCCTCAGAATCACTGCAGGGACAAACTGTCAGGTCCACATAATGTGAGTGGGAGGGGATCTAGGAACAATGGACGGTGTTGGCAGGAAACTATCCTGGATGACGTGCACCTGACACCAGGATACACCTTTCATTAGAATGAAGGGAGCAACAGAGCCCTCAGAAAAGATACAGAGGCAAAGAGTACATTGATTAGAACATTATCTCATAACAGAGGTAAGGCCATTTCCCACCATTATTGTAAAATAACTGTAACTAATCAAAACACATATAGGCCTCTTTAATGGAGTTAATAAAACTACAGTGAATGGGAATTGGGATAGAAGGAGCCATGCTGACAGGGCCAGGTAGTTCCACTCTAGGTTCTTAGAAAGGAGCCCTGGTCCAGAGAACAGCACACATCCACGATCACTATGTGGGGCTGGACCAGAGGAAGCCAGGCTGAGCCACGGTGAAGGGTCCTGAATGGCTCTCCAGGGATTATCCATACTCTGTATCCCCTCCAGTAATGGGTAAAACCAAAAGTGTTGGAAACACTGAAGGTGGACATCTGGTTTGTAATTCTGGGCCATCTTGATCTCCTTACATCTGACCATCTGCATGGGGAGGGAAAGGACAGTACAGAGTGTGGACACCCTGTCTCCCACTGCAGGGGCACAGAAAGTGGGAAGGACATCCAGCTGTGATAAGCAGGAAAAGGCAAGGCAACAAGACACCTTATGCCTGGGGTAGGATCACGGCCAACAGCCCTCTAGGCCTGAGTTCACCTCCTCAAGGGGAGGTCTCCATGGAATGAGCGTGATTACCAACATGGCCAGAAAACCCATCGATCCCACTCATGGGGCAGATGATGAGAGGGGCTGCGCTCTTCCCTCCCGAGTAACTCAGGCTGAAGTAAGGCCGGACAGGCCCACAGAAGGTGGCATGAGAGAAAGTAAATGTGTGACACCTCTCTGTCACGTTGTAGAAGGAGACCTCGCCAGCATCATAGTCCAAGAAAACCCCCACCCGCTGGAGAGGGGTGCGCAGGGGTAGGGCAGTCATTGGGGAGGTAAGAGCCCAGTACTCCTTCCCATACCACAAGGACACTGCCCAGAATCCATTCTGGGGGGCCGAGGTTACTCCACCTTTTCTGCATACGGAGTCTTCACAGACACCTATGGTCCACTTGGCTTTATCTCCCACTTCTACCTCCCAGTAATGTCGCCCAGCGATGAAACATGGAGAGCCCAAGACACAGGGAAACAGATTGAACCGCTCAGGGTTGTCAGGCAGGTCTTGCTGGAGGTAACTGTACCGCACCTGCCGCAGGTTGTCAGAAAGGATCAAGCTAGGGTAGGCTGTGTCCGGGTCTAGAGTCACGTCCACTGCGGAGACACACAGGGGAAAAGGGAGGACAGTCAGCCAGGGGCCAGGAAAGCACACTAGAGGACACCCAGCTCTTCTCTGCCTCCTGTAAAAGGAGAACATGAATGCCCCACAATAGACCGCATTCATCTTGTGAAATTCATCCTGGAGTTGACTTGACATTCCAAAAAGTATTGTTTGGATTAGCTGACTACCTTTCTAAACCAGGACATATTGAAAGTACTGAGATTTTACCTCCATTCCCTTCAACATCTTAAGTCACATTATCCATTATAAGCTGAATTCTCAACTTAAATTTTGGGCCTTTGGTATGTGAATAAGCGACTACAAACCTGTATCACTCTTTTAATGGTGCCTGGGGGGGTGGGGTGCAGTTGGTGGAGTGTCCAACTCTAAGTTTTCGGGTCAGGTTGTGATCTTAGGGTCATGATATCAGCCTCATGTCAGGCTCTGGGCTCAGTTTGGAGTCTGCTTGGGTTTCTCTCTCCCTCTCCTTCTGCCCCTCCCCCCACATGCACACACCCTAAGATAAATAATCTTATAAAAAAGAAAAGCAGGGGATCCCTGGGTGGCGCAGCAGTTTGGCGCCTGCCTTTGGCCCAGGGCGCGATCCTGGAGACCCGGGATCGAATCCCACGTCGGGCTCCCTGCATGGAGCCTGCCTCTCCCTCTGCCTATGTCTCTGCCTCTCTCTCTCTGTGTGTGTGTGTGACAAGAAAAGAAAGAAAGAAAGAAAAGAAAGAAAGAAAGAAAGAAAGAAAGAAAGAAGAGCAGTCTTTTATATCCTCCATTCCATGAGATCTTTACTCAGCACATGCAAACCCCATTCATCTCTTTCTAATGTCCAATACAACACCCACATCTTTCTCAAAAAGCTGCTGTCAACCAACCAAGTCATCACATGCTCCCTCCCTTAAACCTAAAACTCTATCATCTGAGTCATGTACTTGGGTGATCAGTATGACAGCATTTTGCAGTCATGTGGTACTTTCCTGCTTTAAAACATTCTCTCTCTAAACCGCAGCTCAGACAGGCTAAATGGCCTCCATGAAAGGTTCATGAAAGCAACTGATAACCAGGAGCCCCAGATCGTAGATTTGTGGTTCAACAACCTGTGTACAGCAGCGCCCTGTGCCTTTGGGTGTGCCGCGTACTTCCCATCACACACTGTGTCTTATGCTTTGTTCCCCCCACAGAGCCCTGTATGATGCTAGACGGTATAGGTCATATGCAAGGTATTCAGCTCATACTTACTAGAACAAAATATGGGTCACAGTGGTGGACACCATTGGAAGACCTGCTGTACGCCTCCCTTCATGGGGAGGATTCCATGGAACTGTGTTAAGTACATACCTAAGATGTGAAGACCTCTGGGACCACAGATCTACTCAGGCTCCTGACCCCTCAGTGACACTGATGGTCAAGGGGTAGGACAGCTCAGCTCCTGCCCCAGCTCAGGGAGGGGCTGCCCCGAGGCTCTGACCTACCCCCTCCCCCAAGCACAGGAAGGATGCCCTATAGCAATGCTCCTCTTTTGGGGGCTGTAATTCCTACTCAAGCACCTCAGCTGGATTTTCTATTTCAGAGGTCCCTGGCTTTGGCTTTGAGGCATTTTAGGAGGCAAAGATATTGCCAACACATGGAAACAATCAACAGTATTTTTGTGGTTGCTGTTTATCACTTTTACATACATAATCCAAAGTACCCCAATTTAGGCAATTTCCCAAATCATTCATAATGGTAGTTAGGTTTTCAGGACCTTTATTCCTGTTTCCATATGGTTTTATCTCCATCACCTACCTGAGTATAACTGAGCCTCTCTCAATTCTGAAAAAACAAGAGAGTAGTAGTTAACAGATGGCAAGTGAGTATTTCCGAGATACCTGAGCAGAGACTCTCATTAAGAGTCTCCACAAAGCTACAGTTTCATCAGCCCTGCATTCCTGTTGTCAGCTTGTCAGCTGTGTACTGATTTCTTGACACAACATCGTTCAACCGAGAGCTCTACAGGGAGAGGGACAGGGAATTTTGGTAGCAAATGGGATCAAACTGAACCAAGGTCAGGGAATCCACCCTCCAGTGAAATGCTGTTCCAAGCCACCTCATTTTGGGTTGCTGTTTTTCTCATGCACAACTCTTGGCCTTCAGAAGCCACCTGTGTTCTAAGGGCTGGGTGGCTCCGTGGGCGATACCC